TATTGTATATAATTATATGGTTGAGTTGTTTTTTGTACAAATTTAGTTGATTAATTTAAATAATATTTTTAATAAAATTATATATATATATATAATACAGTATACGTATATTTAATATTAAATGTTAATAGACTTTTGTTGTAATACTCTACATATATTAAAAATAATATAACCATAAGTTTTGTGAGTGTGTGTGTGTGTGTAGTGATGCAAAATTTGTCTAAATATCTACACACACATACACACAAATAGTGAGAAAAAAACTAAATAAATAAATAAAAAAACATAAATTCAATGACAATGATTGATATGTATATTCTTACATCAATTCAATTTAAGTGTACTTATAATATATAAATATAATACTTGTATTTACTACTCATTTACCATAAAATTTATGTCTTTTTTTTAGTTCAACTAAGAGAGAAAAAAACCAATGTCTAATTTCTGGGAATTATTTATGTATTATTTATTGGCTTTCTATCAGCACATATATCTTATAGATAGATAAAGTCTATATATAGTATACGGTATATATATATATATATATACTGTATATTTACTACTTATATAATATATTATGATATAACTGCTGGCCTACAAAATATAACTCTGAAATTCATTTGAAACGTTTATATTTGATGATCGATACATAATTTGAGTTAAATGTAAATATAAAAAATGCAACTTTTAGACAAAAAAATAGTCAGATTAAAAGCAACTAAATATATATACAATATATAAGTCATCTTCAATACAAACAAAATCTATGACTAATCTATGAATCCCTATAAACTCATCGTATTTTTATCCTAACCACTGATTTATTGCCACAACAATAACAGCAACAAAAATAAGTGTAATTTTTTTCACCATCTTTTATCTATTTTCTCTCACTTTTTTCACGACTTTTCTCAAACACTTTTATTGTATGTTTTTTTCCTACTATTCTACAGAAAAAAAACTAGAGTACAAAACCACTCAAACCATTCCAGCATTTAAGTCAACTCTAGTGTAAACCCTTTTTTTGCTGGCGATATATATATATATTGTTTGTCATTATCTATCTATCTATCTTTGAATATACCCATAAAAATCTAACTCTCGAGTAGTAGTAATAGTATTGGTGAAACCTTTTTTCCTCCACAGCAAATGCTATGACCCGAAACAATGATAACTTATTTATTTTTATTTTATTTTTTTTGTTGGTTATCCGATAAAAAATATAACCAAATTGTGTGTGTAAATCAATGTGTATAGATTTTATTGTGTAATCGCGCAAATTGTATTTTTCAACAAAAAAAATTACTCTAATAAAAACATTTTCATACAGTGTTCAGGTGCTAAATTAATATTTATTTATTTTTGTTGGTTCAAAATAACTATAAATTTAATTTTGTTTTCTTCAAAATTGTTATTCAAAAAAAATGTTATGTAAATTTTATTTTCTAAACTTATCTAATAATATACAGTATATACCACTATATATATAATGCATAATATTTTCACTAGATTTTCAACAATTTTTTATGTATGTGTGTATACAATATACAAAAATACATACACTTTTGCATTATTATATTTATTTATCCAAAAAAATATGCAATAATTATTTTTTCCTAAACTTTTTTTGTCCATTACAAGGATAGCCAAACAAACATATAAAAACAAAAATAACAGACAAATTGCTGACAACCTTTTACTGTATGGACACCCTCTTGACTATTCATTGTCTAACTCTATACAGTATTTGATTGTATTGTATGTATGTTTTGCTGACAAACTCATTAAATACTTGAATAGCAAATATGGGGTTCAATAGTGTCAATGAAGGCCTCAATTTCTTTTTGAAGAAGAAAATGAATAAATATTTTCTCCTATTTTTCTCTCTCTATTTGTTGTATACATTGAAAACCTCTCTATTAGTTGTGAGAGAGAGAGAGTCTCAGTCAGCACAGCATTCCTCTCTCTTTCTTTCACTCACTCACTCTCTTTCTCTCTCTCTTTCCCAGTGTTTGTGTGTTTGCTTTACATTCAATACATTTGTGGCTATTTTTAGCTCAACTTTCAGTACAATTAATCGCTGGACCGCAACATCACATTAGCTCATAGTTAGAGCATAAATATATATTATATATATTATATGAATATTATTATATATATATTATTACTTTTATTTAATGCAATTCTTTATAAACACAAACAAAAAAGTTGGATATTTATATATAAATTTTGATAAACATAAAATTCATTTTTAATATATATATATATATATATATATATATTTATATTTATAGATAAAAGTATTAAATATATATACTTTTAGTAATTTATACATTGATGTATCATTATATGATAATACACTACATACTGTATAATACATATAATCGATGCAATTGTGTGTCGACTATTAGCTAAAATAAATTGCTTTTAAATAACTATTAATTAAATTTTTATTTATTGATATAACAAAAATAAATAATCCATACATATTTTATTTTGGACATATTGTATATATATTTAATAAAGTATTAGTTTTCAAATTAATCAACAGAAATCTATATATATATATATTATTTATAATATATCAAAAATAGATTCTCTATTAATAATTTATAAGCCTATGTTTTACTTAAACATATTATAAATTACATATATATATATTAAAGAAATTATTTATTATTATTATTATCATTAAATAAATTTATTTTAAAATCGTTAATAAAAATAATACGTCAGCAAATAAATTTTGCAACTATTATCATAATTATATTTAGGTATAAAATCAAAAATTTATTAAAATAAAGAGTAATTTGGTTTTTTTGTTATTGAATAAGTTGTTTTTTGAAACAAACAAAAAAAAATTTATATAAAAAACATAGTATGAATTATGATCTCTCATTATATATTAAATATAAATGTCACAATATATTATTGTAATATTTTATAGAATAATATGAAATAATAATAATAATAATATTTACGTAATATTATATTAAAAGTTTCTGAACAAACGTTACTAGCAATGAGTTTTAACAACAACTAAAAAAAATAAATAAATAAAACAAAAATTACATTTTTAATGGTCCGCTATTATATGATATATATATATATATATATATATATTATATCAAATGAATTATACATTTTAATTAAATTAAACGCATTAAGTAAATTGCAATAGTTTTACAATAGTATAATGCAATTAATGCAAGATTGTTGTGTTTAACTTTTATTTTGATCCTCAAATAATTAGTTAACTTTTAAATTTTGTTTATTATTGCAAAATTAGCTTACTAAGTATATACAGTAGTTGTAATAGTATTAGCATTGTTTATAAACAGTGCATATGTTTAATTTTAAATTAAGCAAAATTTTTAGTTTTTATTTTTAAATTTATAAATTGCAATCTGGTTATTGTTAATCTCGATTTATTTAAAAAATAAGTAATTTTAAATTGTCTTCATTCCCAAAAAATTTCGGTACCGATTGTTTTTTGATGACTACCAGACAAACACCTTATATATTATATATATATATATTTAAAGGTATTATTTTCCTTAAAAAACATTTCTTCATTTTAGCGATGTTTAGCTGCCATAACAGGAAGTTTAATCACAAAGTGATACTCAAAATTGAGTTTTGTATTTATTGTTGAGACACATACATACATACAAGTGCTACGTGTAGTGAACACTATGTGAATATAATACTAATGAGATATTCTGTATACTAAATATAAAGTACTGTATATATATATATATATATATATATATATATATATATATATATAAAGTATATATACTGTAGAGTAAAATCTATACTTATACTGTAAATAAACTAGAATTAGTTATTTGTAAATCATGCAATATATACAATATAATAATAATAATAATAAAATAACATTTTAAATGTTAATCTTATTTTTATTTTTTTGGTCCGTAATCTCAGTTTTAAATTTTCAATTGCAATACAATATCATTATTATTATATTTATATCATAAAATAATTGTAATCTAATTTTATAATGCATATTTATTTATTAGTTTATATTAATAGTATTATAATTACTATTAATGTTGCTGTCTACAACAAAATGCTATATTGTATTTAATTTTAAAATGTTACAAAAATTAAATTTAGTGCAAATTAAACTAATGCATTGGTGATGCTATAAAATATTATTGTTGTTGATATTTATAACTAAATATTAAAAATAAATATATTCTTAATAAATATCATCAGTACATACTATATAATACTGTACACTTTTGGTCATAATATATATATATACCATAAAATTATATATATATATATATATATATTTCACACAACCATTCTCTCTCTCTCTCTCTCTCTCTCTCAACAGGAGAATATAGAGAACAGGGACAGCAAGACACACACACAGGGAAAGGGAGACAGGGGTTGCCATAGGAATGGTAGTTGACGTCACCCACAGAATATTATAGAATATTTAGACCAGAATTTAGTTGATGTGTGAGTGAGTGTAAGTAAGAGAGAGAGAGAGAGAGAGAGAGAGAGAGAGAGAGAGAGAGAGAGAGAGAGAGAGAGAGAGAGAGAGAGAGAGGAATGGGAGAGCCTTGTGTTGAATCTCTCTCTCAGCTTTATATGAGTGCGTGTGTGTGTGTTATATATGTTGGTAGTGAGTGAGAGTATATATATATGTATGTATGTTATGTCTATATGCATGATGTGTGTGTGTGTTGAGTATCATATCGTTATCATTCAGTTGAGTTACAGGCGTTCAAAGAGATGGACTAAAATATTTCGCATTAGCGATGAGTTAGAGTGAGGAGTGAGAGAAATGAGAGACAAGTGATACCCACAACTCATAGACAACACAACACTTAAAAAACACATAATGATTGTGAAAAAGAAAAAAAGTTGAGATTTATATATATATTTATAGAAAAAATATTATGTGATAAGTGAAGTGATAATATACGTGAATCACTGCTAATATCATACCCACACAAAAAATATTTTTTATTAAGTTGTTTAGGCTTTAGTGTGCGTTTATAAAAGGGAGGGTTCATTACCATCGACAACAACAACAACAACACCACCAGCTTCTGCCATGAAAAGGCAGAACATCCGGACCCTCAGTCTAATAGTGTGCACATTCACCTATCTGTTGGTCGGCGCCGCTATATTTGACGCACTAGAGTCTGAACACGAAGATAAACAAAGAGTAGCATTGGATACGTTTGAAGAGATGCTCAAAAAAAAGTATAATATAAGTGACGAGGATTTTAAAATAATGACAACAGTTGTCATCAAAAGTGTGCCCCACAAAGCAGGGGTTCAGTGGAAATTTTCGGGAGCTTTCTATTTTGCTACTACTGTATTGACAACCATTGGTAAGTGTGAATTATAGATAATCCATAAAATAAATACATACATACACACCCACACCACCTCTGTCCCCTTAATCACACGTATATATATATACAGTATGTGTGCACATATCTATGAGTGCACGTGCTTTTTGTATATATATAATAGTAAATATTTGTAACACTTTTATGCAATAATAATTGTTCAATAATTTTGTTTTGAACTCAACAAAAAAGCTAATATCTTACGTATGTATGTGTTTGTTTGTGTGTGTGTGTCTGTGTGTGTGTGTGTGTGTGTGTGTGTGTGTGTGTGTGTATTTGTTTGTGTGTATTTGTTTGTTTGTTTATGTGTGTCTGTGTGTGTGTTACATACAGTACATTTACAAAAAATATATTACATTATACTTGTTAGAAAAATTATTATTTATTATTATAACACTTTTTTTTTGCTGTTATAGTAAATATGAAGTATGTTTTTTATATATTAATGTTTAGATCGTTATATGATTAGATCAATTTGTATAAATAGTCAGCAAAATATGTTTTCTGTGTCATATGAAATTAAATTAATCTTTTTATAATATATAAACTGTGTAATACATTAACTAGATATATATATACACTAAAACTGATTACTATATACAGAATATTCTGGTAAAAAAGCTTTAGACAAGTTTTATCATAAATTATTTGATATTTTTAGTATTTTTTAGCCGATAAACATATATAACACTCTAATCAATAGTTGTTTTAATGCTGTAATGTTTATATAATGCTCTCTAATTTGTAACTCTAGTTTTATTAATGCCATTCAATTGAATATTCATTTATATTTTTTGTCTGTATCTGTATTTTTGTGTAATAGACTATTATTATTATTAATAATAATATTATTATTATGTTAACACAATTTTGAGTACTAATTAAAATGATATACAATTATAATATTCAATAATTTTACAATAAATATAGTAGTTATAAGTGTTGGGCCATAAGTATCATTGAGTCAAGTAATTGCTGTTAACAACCAGTAAAGTTTGGTTTAAATATAATATATAGTATATAAATATTTCTTTTATATATTATTATTAGTTATTAAATATTAACTTTACTTTGATGTTAATAAAAATAAATGGTATTCCGGTATTAATATTAAATTAATTATATTTTAAATATATACAAATATTTTAACAAAACTATAATAATAATAATAAAAAACCAGTTGAGAATGCTTTAAAAGCATTTCCACACGAATTCCTTAACTTAAAAAGGAAAAAATTAAAAAAAAATAAAAAAAACAGTTGAGAATGCTTCAAAAGCATTCCCATACGATCTCCTTAACTTAAAAAAGAAAAAAAACCAAAAAAAAAATCAAAAAAAAAATCAAAAAAAATTTTTGCAGCGGAGCCTGGATTCGAACCTATGTCCTCGTGGGACAGACAGACGGACAGACGGACAGACTTTTAGAATGCATATACGTATTCCTTTCAGGAATTCGTGAAAATAAACAGATATTTAATAGTATTATATAATTAAAAACAATTGTAAAATCAAATAGCTTTATAAGTACCCGTAATAAGTAGCTAATACCATATATATACTGTAATTTACAGTAGAGTGAAATATATATATAAATTACTGAAATTTTATATACTTTACGCTTCATTATATAATATCTGTTGAAAATTGATAAAACATATCTCTTGTTTTTTATTATTGTTAAAAAAATTATTTATTATTATTATTATAAAGTATATAATAATTTTGATGAACAACAACAACAAAACACACACAACTCTTTGGAAACTAAATACTATTTTTGTCTTTTATATAGCAATAAAAAAAGACAAAATCAAATTTGAAACACAAAAACATAAAATTTGATATGAAATATAGAAAGTTATTATTGTATTACAGTATAATAACAAATAGTATTATTTCTATATATTTAATAGTTATCGAGTGTTGCAATGAACTACTTTAATACATACTAACAGTGTATATATAATCATAAAAAGTTGTTCAACTTTAACATTATATCATTAGGTGTGTGCCATCAATGAGATTACTTATATACATATATATATATATATATAATGTGTGTATGTGTGTGTGTGTATGTGTGTGTGTGTGTGTGTGTGTGTGTGTGTGTGTGTGTGTTTATGTATGTACTTATGTGGATGCTATTGATGAATTGGCAAAAAATATGTTTGTAATTAACACAGCAAACACATACAAACCATTATCAATGATAACAATAAACAAAAACTAATACTATAGTTATGCTTCAAATGATGATTAGGTTTTGAAGAACAACTTTCTCTCTCTCTCTCTCTCTCTCTCTCTCTCTCTCTCTCTCTCTCTCTCTTTCTCTCTCATTGTTTTTTATACTCTTTTATAATGTTTGGCTAAATATTATCCAACAAAACACAGCACAACCCAACCCTCAATAGGAATTTATTTCTAAAAGATTTAACACCAAATTTATTTGATGTCCAAAAATATTACGCTTTCAATGGCCAACAAAAAATAACATATGGATGAACACTCAATTCAATAGACAAAAAGCAAACCAACGATAAAAAAAATTACAATCAATTCATTTACAGCTATTATTTCTTTTTTGACAATAAATTTCTAAATAAAAACACCAAAAGTGATGATTAGAAGAAACAAACAAACAAAATATTGGTGGCACTCAATTATTGAATAAATATCTATATATTTATTTGTTTTGTTTGTTTCAAACACATATACACACAGTATTGTATATAACATATGTATACCATTATTATAGACACATTACAAATACAAATCTCATAAAAATAGCGGTTTTCATTTGATGAGTGCCCATCAAATATAATAATAATAATATAATGCTATGTACAGTAGTACCCCATATATTATTATTATTATTATTGTATGTATTAATAATATTAATAATATTATTTGGCCATTTCAATAAGCATCTCTTAAGTGATTGAGATTAATATTTATTGGACATCACATGTTTATCATATATTCAGTAAATACTGTACGTGTATATTATACAGTATATATATATATATATATATATATATGTATATAATTTATATATTATATAATATTATTTACCATATATTTGCACAAAATTTTAACTAACATTTTTAGGTATAAGCTAATGGTATATCCAATCGATTCTGTTTAGTCAATATATATATATATATATATATATATACAGTATATGATATGTATAAACCATACTATTTTTATACTCAGCGCTTAAAGCTATAATACTGGTCGTCGTTATAAACACCATCGCATTACTTAATAATTTGAATTACTCGTTGAGATAAAATATAAATGCAATTGATTTGGATATATATATAAATAAATTTATTTATTTATTTATATAAAATATATAAGGCCAGGAAATTGGAAGTTTTTTTTATACTTTTAACGTATAAATCTATAAAAATATGCGAAACCCTAAGGGAAAAACACTACAATTGGCTCATATATATAGTGTGTATATTATATTCAAGTGCTATCCACTTCTCTTTTAACAAATGGTTATTCAATATTTGCAATTGTTATGCATTTTTTTGCCATTAAATTTTGTTTTGATAAAATCATATTACAATTTGACGCACAATACAGCAATAAAAATGCAAATTATATACTAAATATAGTATATATTAATATATATATATATAATTTTTATATATATTAGTATATATTGTATATTTTAATTTATAAAAATTTCTATTATCTATTTAACTTAAAATAGAAAAACAATATTTAACAGCCATTTACCAGTTTATGATTGTTATTATATAAATTTATATTATATTTATACTGTAGTAACATATAATACTGTTGAAATGTGCATCGGATTAATTAGTTGTCAAACAGTGAAATATTTAATATATTAGATAACATCAACACAATATATATACTAATATATATATATATATATCTACGGATTGATTGAAACAGGAATAACAATAAATAGCTGTAATAATAAACAAATGACACGATATTAACAGTAAGTTTGCATTGCATTTGTTATGTATAGATGACTACTGCAGAGGCTTTGATAGGAGTAAATGAATTCAATGGAAAGTCATCGATGCATCACATCTTGCATTGAGATGTACTAAATAACAACTAGTTTCTGGTCTTTCAAATTGATTTATTAGTGAATGAAAGAGAGAGAGAGAGAGAGAGAGAGAGAGAGAGAGAGAGAGAGAGAGAGAGAGAGAGAGATAACCAGTAGAAATGTTGGACAGTTTGACAAACTAAGAGTGACTTAATAGAGGGAAAGAGATAGAAAGGGAGAGAGAGACAGAAAGAGAGACCCCGTGTCACCAACATATTCATTACACTATTGCCAGAGACTAATATGATATAATATTTAGTCTAATAATGACATCATTATAATACAATAGTAGTAGTTGTTATTATTATTATTATTATCAATGTTATAACTTATAGGATTAAAACTTAAATTCATTAAATTTGTTTTTCATATACATAGCGATGCATTTAATAAATTTAATGAATAATTGAAATAATGATTTTCTCTCTCTCTCTCTCTCTCTTTCTCTCTTTGAGATTGTTTCCTAAATGGATATTAAATATATTATAGATTTATATAAGTTACATTTATTGCAATTATATACTACATGGTCTACTGTATGATATAAATACATCCATTTAATAAAGTTCTATATTAAGCATAGTATATATTATGTATACTATGTATTATATATTATATAATTTAGTATATATTAAATAAATACAAAATAATAGAAATAAAAGCATCTCTCTCTCTCTCTCTCTCTCTCTCTCTCTCTCTGTATTTTATGTCCATTTCAAGCAAATTAACATTTATTTACTTTTGTTGCCACTTTATATGTTAACTTTTTTTATATAAATTATTTATTGTTAATATTTGTCTCATAGCATACATTCATGAGTACAGTATTATATATAAATTATATGTGGTATATATTTGATATGTGTATTATATAATATCT